AATTTTTTTGCATTTCTCTGATTCTTTAACTTCTTCATTTTTTTCTAGTTGTTTTTGTGTGTTTGCTTTGCTCAAAGTTGGGACATTAAGTAAAAACATTAAATGCACTAAAAATAAGTCTCCATAAAGAAAAGCACATTTTATTTTTCAGTCAAGATTTACAACGAGTTGAAAGTACAGATCTCCTCGCAAATGTAGTAAAGTAAAAGTAAAAAGTATCCACAGCAAAATGTACTTAAGTAAAGTACAGATACCTAAAATTTGTAGGTTAGGATCTTACTTTTACTTTTGTTCCATGTTATCCTACCACTGAATACCTGGTGTGGAAAGTAACACTAGTGACTGTAATAAAGTATAATTTGGGGGTAATTAATTGCTTCTTCTAAACATGTAATTTTTACATGTACATGTACTAATTGAGTATGAGTATTGAGATAGGAGTTACTGCATTCACGTCCCACCGCTCTAATCACACTGCTGTCTCTGCTCCTCTCTGTACCTACAAACACATAGCAGCACTGCATGGCCTTCTCTGAATGGCCTGAGCTCAGAAAATATGCAGATTGCTGTTTAAAACAATTTAACTCAAGTTTTATTTGAATGAAAGTATATACTAAAGAGTCTCCTGTAAAAAGGTGTTTGTAGACTGTGCAGTAATGATGGATGACATAATGAAGGTTCATTTCTCCTAATGCAGGGTCTGGCACACTTGTCTCCACAAAGCTGTTAATAGATTAGATTAGATTCAACTTTATTGTCAATACACATATATAAATACAAGGCAACTCAAGTCGTGCAAGTCCATTGAAGAGCTTGAAATGGTACAAAGGTAAAAAACTGAACAGACAGAGGTTAAAAAAAAAAAAAAAGAAAAAGATAAACTTGAGCTGGAGATGCCATTGCTGGCAGGATTCAAACCTGCGCGAGCAGACCCCAACAGATTTCAAATCCATCGCCTTAACCTCTCAGCCACAGCAGCAACGTAGTCAAACAAACTGGAGACAGTGCACTCAACACTGAAGGGATCTGACAACCCTCTGGCATAGTGACAACACAGCTACAGCAGAGACTTCTGTGTCTTCACATATACATGTTCCACTGGAATGAAATGTGATGTCACTGGCTCTACAACAACTTGCTTTAGACTCTGTGGCGCAACGGTAGCGAGTCTGAATCCACATCAGAAAGTTGTGTGTTCAAATTACATCAGGGTCATTAGCTTTCTTGATTACTTTGTCAATGTTGTGCAGCAAAACAATAGAGATTGTGCGAGCCACTGACAGCCAGCTGTCCTATAGGTGAGTTTCAACTGATGTCATTGTTATTAAAAGCCCGCGTTGCATGCTGGGAAATATTTTGGTCGGAGGCAAGAAACAGGAATAGTGGTCAAACACAGTGTGTAACCTCGCGTATTTATCCCCGATAATAGGTAAATTCCTGCTGCATTATCGGATGCACAAATAGAAGCACGGAAGAAGGAAAATGTTTTTTTCGTATTCTGAGGGAAAAGAACCACTAACGGTGAATTAAACAACTTTCAAACATCCGCAGAGCAAACGTAGAAGATCCTAACAAACCGTGGACTCCAACAAGTTCAACAACACATCGAGACTCTTGGAGATTTTCATCTTTTCTGCTGTGAATGGCCCAGGAGTTTCCACCAAGTCATTGTGGATATCGCCCAAGTGAATATTTGTCCAGGTAGTTGGCGATTCTGACCAGAAATTTGGTTTGGTCCACCTTTTGTCGGGGTTGAAAAGGGTGATTTGTCGTCCGTCGATGTTTATGACCAATTTCTGACAAATGGTCTTGGGTCCTCTGCCGTTAGAGTGGATAAATAACCAGGATCAATACCCTTTACGTGCTTTCTCACTCCGTCCGTCATGTTCAATTAGTGTTTCTTGCCGCTGACCAAAATAATTCCCAGCATGCAACGCGCGCTTTTGTCAACAATGAAACTCACCTATTAGATTACATTAAGAGCTGTATATGTGCACTAGCTATGAAGAGCTACGTTTTGGAAGGAATGAATTCCACACACAAGTGCTCCCCTCCAAACACATGGAAATCACCATTATTCACAACCAAAGATTGCGATGGCCCGGAATCTTAAACCCCATGGAGCTGGTTTGGGATGAACTGAACAGAAGAGTGAAGCAACCTACAAGTGCCACACATTTATGGAACGTCTACAACAAACTTGGGAAGAACTTCCTAGAGAATATTTGATTTCTGTTGTAAAAAGAACGAGTCACGAGTGTGTTCAGCTGTTCTATCTGCCAAAGGTGAACACACATCAATCTAAAGTTTAGAATATGTTTTGATCAACAGTAAACAGAAAAAAAAAATGGAAAAAGTGTGGTGTTCTAAAACTTTTGACCAATAGAGTATCGAAATGTAGTTTAGTATCTAATCAGAAGTGCAAGGAGCAGTAAGTGCTATGTATACAGAATATATACAATATAGACAATATACAGTATATTACAGTGTTGATTGTAGTGAATATATACAAATAAATATGGCAACATGAACAGGAGGGAATGAGATATAATATACAAACAGATCTAATATATGAACAGCCTGGCTTAAAGCATAAAAAAAATGTCTATCCATCCTCATGAGGACAAACAGGTGAAATCTGTGGAGAGGCGAGTCCACTCACAGTAAGATGATGATATCTGTGTTTTCTTACCTTACTTAGTCCACCTTGACAGGTCTTATATTCCACAAAATTCACTCTTTTAGATTTACGCAATGTTATAATGTTGTTACCTCCTCAAAAACATACCCAGAGTTGTGTTTTGTTCCATTTACACTTTTGTTTGTTTGAGTAATCCTGTATTATTAGTCTGTCTACATCTCCAATGCTCTGTTCCACCTCGTGATGTCATGAAGTGGTAGTTTAGCCCTGGTTTAGACCTGGTTTAGATCTGGTTTGGACCTGGTTTAGACCTGGTTTAGATCTGGTTTAGAATGGGCAATGCGTGGAATTACCAAAAAAAAAAAAAAAAAAAGGATGAAGCCCAAAATGTGAAAACCGGGAAATACGACTGTGTAATCCATTTATTTCAACCAAAGTAACTGTAATCCAATTACCACTCACTTAAACAGTAACTGTAACTGAATACAGTTACTCATAAATTGTACTCTGATTACGTAACTCTGGTACATGTAATCTGTTACTCCCCAACACTGCTCACAGCTACAGCACCAGCAACAGACAGGGCTATAACATAAGATGAGCCTCCTATGCTAATTTACTCTGCCTAAACCAAGAACTAATGCACTGAAGAAAAGAAAAAACAAAAAGAAAAAAAAACAAACTTTTTATATATGGAGCCATTTCTCACTGAAATAAACCACCTCAAGAAATGATGCTGACACACAGTCATCTTGCTTTTAAATCCTTTAACCAAACTGTGATGAACTGATGCATGTGTTTTCTGTTCATTCCCCTCATGATAGAAGTTGCTCTTATGCACTGACTATTATGTGATTTACTGTTAATGTTAATGTACAGTCAGTGTGTTTTTGTGTGATTTTATGATGGAACCGGGCTCCAGGAAGAGTCGTCTGCGCAACTACAGAGACTAATGGGGATCCTTAAAAAAACAAATAAACAACGGGTTAGATCAGGGGTGGGCAATTCTTTTTTCCATGGGGCCACATGAGAAACAGAAAATATTGTGGAGGACCTGGCCAAAATGTTTAACTGCATTCTGCATAATATTAATTGCATTTCTTTATAAAAAAAAAAAAAAAAAAAAGTAAAAGTAAATATCATTGCTTTGATGAGCTGGTCAGACTGGTGAGAGTTTATGTTATGACTAAGCAATGAGAGCATAGAGAAAAATCTCACCCACTGTCTTATTGAAAAATGTGAGCTTTATTACGACATAGAACATTTCGGCACCAGGCCTTCATCAGTCAAAAAAAAAAAAAGGCTTGTATGTCAAAATGTTGTATTTGTTAATAAATCTCACATTTTCCAAGTAAGACAGTGTGTGGTTTTTTTCTCTATGTTCTTGGGCTGCTCCCTCCTCCAACGCACCTTTTTCAGGTAATTGATGTTGACATTGTCATTCTTTTATATGACTAAGCAATGAAAAAGTGAGGCTGCCTTACAAAAAATTTTCATTTTAAATAAATAAATAAATAAAAATAAATAAAAGGACAAATTATAAAATATGTTTATATTGTAATTCTGAATCATGACAAAAGGAGAAATTCAATTTGTCAACTGGACAAAAGTTTATTTGGTTGAATACATTTCGCAGCGCATCCAGGCTGCTTCTTCACTGGTCAAAATGCTGAAGTGTGAGAAAATGTCCACCAGCATTTTGACCAGAACTGAAGAAGCAGCCTGGATGAGCTGCAAAACATATATGACCAAATAAACTGTAGTTCAGTTGAAAAACGTAATTTCTCCTTTTGCCGTAGATTTAACTGAGGGATTTTACACACATCATAATTCCAAATTTGAAATGAATTATTTATTATGAATTAATGAATTCCAAACTATCTTACCTGTGCCTGTCAGAGTCACCCAAACCTGGAGATGTACAATGCCCAAGTCTGGGTTGGAGTGATGCTTCAACTCGTTTATATATTTTTGTTTTATTTGCAACAAGCACCAAGTCAGCCCTCCTCATTTCTATTTACTCATCTCTTCGCCGATCACACTTCGGCTCTTTCCGGCTGCTCTTCGGCTCCCGTTCGGTTTTCTCCGTCACACCTCGGCTCTTTCCGGAGCGCAGACAGTCGGGAGGGGGATTTCCACCGCGGGGCCTCACACGCTTCCCCGATCTGTGCCACTGCTGCTGTTTTGCTTTCGGTCTGGGCTTAGAAACAGAAAAAGACGCCCATACACTTTCATTTTTACACTTAATAACTACAAAGAACCAAAGTTTGTCCAGTTTAGCTCGCGATCGGCGGAGTGACAGCGGGATTAGCCTCTCCGAAGCTAACAGGTAACAATTTCCGCGTTATTTTCGTCATAGATCTACTATTACAACACGACACTGCGACCACACGGCAGCGTTTACAAGTGAAAGTAAGGGCTCTGCTACTGTCCCCGGCTCTTTTACACATTTATTTTCACTTTTGAATTCGTTGTTTTGGTGTGAAGAGGAGGTGGCTGTAACTTTGACCAGTAGCATTACCGAAAAGAGTGTGATAGTTCTAGTTCGGACTGGGAATTGAACCTGCAGCCTGTAACAACGAAGATCCAGTCCGTGACTAGTTTTACTGCTTGCAACAGATATTTTGAATAGCACATTATGCAAGAAATGGACTGCAAGGTAAGATAATATTATGCAATTTAAAGTGATTTCCATGATTTGTCTGATAAATGTCATGCAGTATAACATGAATAGTTATCGTGGTAAGTGCGGTTATGACTGCTTACACATTTATTTCATTTTACTGCAAAATGTCAAGAGAATTTGCAAACTACACTGCACGCTTTGAGTTAAAACCAGTTTAGTAAACTCAAATGTTTCCTGGTTTTGTTGAAAAGGGGAATTTGAAATATAGTGGAGGAAGCTCGTGTTTTGACTCTGTTCAGGGAAGTGTTCAGATAAACATTGACAGATTAACCGTAACTGCCAAGAGTTAAACTGGCCTGGACTATTACGTAACATACCTGTATTTTTACTTTTATATTGCTGTCAAAAGTGTCGAACAAACAGGTACTAAGCAATAGTAAAACTAGTATCGAAACTAGATACTCATTTGAACAGGTTTCCATTCTAAAAAGTCACATTCACAGGACAGAAATGAACCTTTCCTGAATAACTTTAGACGATCTTGAACTGAATAAGATCACATCTTATTTATAACGTAACTATAACTATACTTTTTTATAACTATAACTCTAATATAATTATACAATGCTATACTACAACTACACTGAATACACTTCACTTTACTGCAACTATCCTGAATAAGACTCTAGACTTAGACTTAGATAAACTTTGATCCACAAGGGGAAATTATTTGGACACCATAGCTCACACATCACAGTATAATATAATAACAAAGAGTAAAATATATATATCTAATTAGTAATAATAGCCCAGACCACAGAGAGATTACAAAGATATAGGTCCATGTGGTAATATAAAACAAAGTGCTATGATTTAATGTTGAAAATCATGTTCTATTCAGTCTAAAGAAAGAGTGTTTTTTTAATCAGCAGTACTGAGTATTGAGTCTATTCTTTAGTATCAAAATCGAGTTTGAAATTTTGGTATTGTGACAACACTAAGAACTTAAACAAGCTTTAATGTAGGAAGTTCAAAATATGTTTTTTAAAGATAGAGGTGCCAACTGAACTGGAATGTTTTTGATAACAATTCATACTTAGCAAATTTCTCATCTGTAGCTTTCAACTAGATGTAAAAAAAAAAAGAAAAGAAAAAAAGAAGTCATAACTTTTAAGATGTTTGCTTACTAACACAATACAAATCTACTGTATGCATTTTTAGATAGATGACAATTATTTCAGGGTCTTCTGCAGACTTCTGTCACAATAATTACTATATATCAGCAACTTTTCAATATATGGAAGCTGGAACAATATTTTTGGGGATCAGTTTTTTATCATGTGTACAATTTCTTTGCACTACTTGGATTTTTTATTTTTATTTTTTTTTTACTATGTTATTAGATTTAAGACATGAAAGTTTAGATTAATATCTTCAATGACTCATTACACATGCAAACTAACTACTAAAGTGTGTCATTTTGCTGTTTATTTATTGCAGCATGTGTTGATTTTTTTCACAACATTGTAGATAAGATATTTTGTGGTTTAAATCTGCTCTTGGGTTTCTGTGTCAGTAGCATAGATTCATTTCAGTATTATCGTTAATATGTCACACGTTTTATGTTGTTATTGTGGCAGGTCTGATCTTTGGTATTTGATGTCTAATCATTAGTATTTCAGTAAATGTGGCAGGACAAAGTTAAAGTTCTGCTCTAAAATAGATTAAGTATTTATTGGTGTAACATATAGGTCATACAGTAGTAACTTGTAAGTAACTGGTAGTAGAATCACTTGTAGTACTTGGTAATAATAGCAGAATTTGCACATTTTATAACATTTTACTTACTCATTATAGCGTAGTTATGAATTATATTGTGATACTAATTTCCGATCTTTGTTTTAGACTAGACTATATTTTTTAGGCTAATTGTTCAAATTGATGCCTCTCTTCTGCTATAATTCTTGGTATTCTTCTAAAATGAGGAAGTGAATAGTTTCAGACTTTGAAGATATGTTTTACTAAATTTGTAAGTATATGTATTTCACTATCCGATTTAGGGAAGTAAACTTTGTGTGTCTGCTATTGGCGCTTAACTCCTCAGTAATATTACATGTGTTTTATAGTGTGCTTCATTATCTCAGTTAAAGTCTTGTATCCAAATCTCAACCTAAAGATCCCATATAATGTTATTTTCTGTATTTTTTTTTATGTTTTATTGTGCTATTTCCTCATCACAAACAGACGTGGAGTTGTGTGTTCACATGAAATCTACTACTTCATGACATCATGAGGTGGAACAGAGCATTTTGAGATTTGGAGATGTAGACAAAACTAATAATGAAGGATTAATTAAACACTTGAATGAAGCAAAACCCAACTGCAGGTGTGTTTTTGAGGAGGTAACATTATAACATGGCTTAAAGCTCACAAGGGTCAATTTTGAGTAATATAGGAGTTTTATATCTTGCTAAATTCGTGCAAAAAAAAAAATCTCAGTTTAATGTGTAACTGGTGACTGTCCTAAACTCAACTGCACTGTAGTTATTTCACTCTCTTGTTCAGATGAGGCCCTTATCACCAAACAAAGGTCGGCCATGTTTTACAACTTAACCACGCAGCTTATCTTTACAACCGCAGACAGAATTCTTCTCTGTATTTCAAATGAGATGGTTTGTTAAGTCTGTACACGTGTTCAGTTGATGTTTATGTGATTAGATTTTACATAGGGCGATCCATATAGAGGCTTTGCACCATCACGTGACCCCCTATAGCAACGGTACCTACGCCGCCATGACACCGGGCACACTATGTCATTGACTTCAGCAGCATCGGTGAAACATGGGCAGGTTTTGTTGTGTATTTGGTTGTTCTAGACGCTCTGAAAGGGATAAAACTATTCGTTTCTTCACTGTTCCTCTGGAAATGACTCATCAGGAGCTCAAACAAGTGAATTATCAAAAAAAAAACAGGAATTATGTCTGGAGAACATAAACAGCGAAGAGATTTCCTATGGTACCATCAAGACACACTCACGTCACTTTCATCAAGGTATTTGCTATTTAAATTGATCATAGTTTATTTAATGAGAGAAGCACATTTACTGAACTAAAATGTAAAAAGAAAACATTTGCAGTGTGAGTGGCAGTAGAAACCGTATCTTCCAACACACATATAAACATGTCACTCGTCGTAGGACCCATGTTTTCTTTATTTTCTTGTTTATCCACAACTATGTCTTCTAGAATTAATCACTTTTTATGAGTGGATCTTTGTAACGTTCGTGAGGATCTTTTCATGGCAGATTCTTTCGAGGTTCGGCTCACAGGCTCGTCAACTCGTGCTCCATGTTGATCATAGGAGCCCAGTGTGGGTTCGTTGAATCGTAAACTAGTGCGGGTTTTCCTGGATAAATGAATGAAATTTTAGTTCAGTAAATGTGCTTCTTTCATTAAATAAACTATGAAACAATTTAAACAGTAAATACCTTGATGAAACTTCGGGTGTCTTGATGGTACCATTGGAAATCTCTTCACGGTTTATTTTTGCTAGCTATAATCCGCGTCTTTTTTTCGATAATTCCCTTGTTGGAGCTCCTGATGAGTCATTTCCAGAGGAACAGAGAAAAAAACGAATAGTTTTATCCCATTCAGAGCATCTAGAACAACCAAATACACAACAAAACCTGCCCATGTTTCTCCGATGCTGCTGAAGTCAATGACATAGTGTGTCCAGTGTCATGGCGGCGTAGGTACCGTTGCTATAGGGGTCACGTGACGATGCAAAGCCTCTATAGCATAAACTGTATAAAGAAATGGACTAGGAGGGAGTGTGAACTGTGACGTTTCCCATTGCCAAACCCGGCGACAGAAATTTTGGGGCCTGAGACAACAAACCCCTTTGCGCCTGCCCTTTCCCCGTCTTATTGCCCTGCACGTAGCATACGGCTCCAGTCAATTGAAGCTCAATGAGGCCCGCTGTTATAGGGGCTAATTTGTAGCCGAGTTCCATATTAGCAATAGGAATTTATTTATAGACAAAAAAGCTAAACAAAAACACCAGTATGGGCGTGCAAAAATATCAAAATATCGATTTATCTTTAATTTGATGATGCAGTATCAATATAGTATTGGGCTGCTGTACTGATATATCATCAATAGGGTTGGGCATCATTAAGAAGTTGCCGATACGATACATACATACATACATACGATACATAGGCCACGGTACGATATACATACCCCGATACACAGGCCACGATACGATACATACCCCGATACACATACAATACGATACATACATACCGATACACAGGCCACGATACGATACATACCCCGATACACCCAGATACCACAGGCCATACGATACATACCCCGATACACAGGCCACGATACGATACATACCCCGATACACAGGCCACGATATACGATACATACCCGATACACCAGGCCACGATACGATACATACCCCGATACACAGGCCACGATACGATACATACCCCGATACGTACCCACGATACCCCCGATACGTAGGCCACAATACGATACATACCCCGATACACAGGCCACGATACGATGCACACCTCGATACATAGGCCACGATACGATACATACCTCGATACATAGGCCACGATATGATACATACCTTGATATACAGGCCACGATACGATACATACCTCAATACACAGGCCACGATACGATACATAGCTTGATACATAGGCCACGGTACGATACACACCTCGATACATAGGCCACGATACGATACACACCTCGATACATAGGCCACGATATGATACAGATCTCGATACAGTGTACTTTTGATTCGATAAATTATATTTCAAAACTATTCGATACGGTTCAGTAAAAAATAAAGGCTAAATCATGGCTGTGATACTAAAAGTCTTTGTTAAATCACTTGTGCAAAGTTCATATGAAACACAAACATTTAAATCATCAAAACAGTGAAAATGTCAAACGTGTCACATAAAAGTTTTCTTTCTCTGAACAAACAACAAAACTGTAACTGTAACAAAA